AATAATAATAATAATAATAATAATAATAATAATAATAATAATAATAAATTATAGTTTACCTTGACATCAATGTAATAATCTGTAAGGAATGGTTTTATCTGAATGTATCAGTATGAAAACTGTTAAGTTTTAGTTCATATCAACAGAAATAAACTCTAGAGTCTGAGAAATGGGTTCAGGGTTCAGGCTCAGAAAAGCCATGAGGATGCTTTTCTAGGTCAGTGTCACACTATGCATCACAGGGTCCACTGAAGATCCAGAAGCCTTTGCTCTCAGTGGCTACAAGCAACACATGAAAAGAAAGTCCTCCATAGAATGGCAGGAAATACTTTCTACATGCCCACTTCCTCTTCTTGAAAGATAATTCTTTTTCTGAAGTCCACAGAGGTCACAGATAATTTTTAAAAGAATCTACTGTGTATATGGTCAATATTTTGATGCCAGGTTGAAAATCCACCATTCCTTATAACATAAATCCACTCTTCAGCTATAAAATTTGTTACTTCCAACTTTCTTCATACCTCCTTATCTTTCTCCTTGGAATAGCCTCACAGGGATCAAACCTACCACCTGCCCAACCCTCAGTTCTGGTAAAGAAACTAAATGACTATCAGTTCTTCTCTTTGATAACAAGCTCAAAATTCAAACATGACTTAAAGTTCCTGTGCTCTTCAGCAAACTATCATACATCTCTAAATGAGTAATTTTACCACAACAATGTACTTTGACATCACTGTCATTTTCAGAGACCAAAAAAATCTCCTGCTAAGTTTTCTAAGATTCCCATCATGTTTTGTGATAAACATGTCATTTTTTTATGTGTACCGAACTTACCTCCCTCGAAATTCATGAATTATTTCATGTGTATATAATGTAAAAGGTCATGCACTTTCCTTCTGCCCCATTTTCAAAGGTCAGGACTTACGTTCGGAAACAGTGAGCAGCACTCACGAGCCATGTGCTGTTGATCAAAGTTGCTCCACAGCGATGAGACCCATCCCACTGCAGGCTGCTTTGCCAGGGCCATTCTCCCTCTTCCACGCGTGTCCCACCGACAATCCTGAGACTAGTCTGTACTGTAGATCTGTTCCGTCGGGTCCCACAGCCTGCCAAAGAGACAGGAGACACTAGAAGTCGCTTAAGCATCGCGATTTTCTTTTACTCTATGATCCAGTAGAGCAAACATTTTCTCCTGTTTTTGTTAATCTGTAAATAATACCTTATTTAGTCAATTCCTATTCATCTTGTGAGACTTATATCTGGCATTGCCTCAGGATTATCTCTCCATCAATTTCTTTGCTTAAAAACTAAATTGATTATGAATATTTTTCATGCTTCCTTAATGACAGTAGCATCCCGTATGTGTAGACAAGTGGTTTTGTTGTTGTTATTCCCTAGCATTGCTTACAACGGAGTTCTTTCTAGAAGCCAGTAACGTTTCCTCATGCAATCACGATGAAAAGGCTGAAGTGAGGCATGATATTTTATGTAATAGCAAGGCCCTGGGGTAAAAACTACTCTTTTAGAATTGCGTGGTCATGAGTTTGTCTCAAGCATCTGCTTATATCAGAGTGTAAGCTCCTTTGAGCTGGTGCATGTTGCCTGTTTTGCATCCCTTTTGGCTAACACAGAATCAGTGCATCCTAGGTTTCTAAGCACTATGGATGGCAAGAATATGTGTCAGTTAGATAATGGGATAATATTTTGGTTCTAGGCTTAGTAACATTTATAAATTAATCAACATTCTGAGCTTTTATTTTAATTAATTAAATGTATTTACTTAGTATTTGTATCTACTGCTATGTGTGTGCGTGCGAGTGTATGTGTGCATGTGTTCGTGCGTGCGTGTGTGCGTGCGTGTGTGTGTGTGTGTGTGTGTGTGTGTGTGTGTGTGTGTATGTAGGCCAGAAGATAGCCTGCAGTAGTTTGTTCTCTACTTCCCAGGGATTGAATTCAGGTTGTCAAGCTTAGCAGCAAGTGCCTTTACCTGCTGAGCCATCTCATCATCCCTCCTTCCATGTAAGAAAATAATAAATGTGCTGTTACAAATTTGTAACTGTTAAATGTACTCTTTGAATCGTGAGGGTTGCTCTGCAGTAAGAGAGTGAAGGGCTGTGTCTAGAATGAAGACCTTTTTTGCATTTTCAACCAATTTAATTTCATCAAATATAGCACACGTCCACAATTACCTGCAACTTCTATTATAAACAAGCAACATCAAGCTGCCTTTATTTAGAGTAGATCGACATTAAGTTTGTCTCTAGCTGAAAAATCACACATGCAAAGAGAGTGTTTTTGCTTCTTCTTTAACGGTTGTCCAACTCAGTCACTTCCGTTCCCATGGTGACAGGCACCTGCACAGCCAGTCTGAAGTTCTCCCAGTTATGCTATTCTTCAGTGGGTATCAGAGACAAAATGAAGTGCCATGAGCTATGTACAAATCATCCACGCTCTAGCCTATCTCTGCAGAATTAACACAAAGCACATACAAATGTTCTGCAGTGTTACCTTCCTGCATCCAGGTAATGCAATCTTAGTGAGTACTTTCAACTTACAATGGTTGAGATAGTTGTCTGTTTCTGTCTTGTTGATTTCTGAAATACACACAAACGGTGAATAGGATAGGGTGAGCAGTAACAGAATTTCACTGTATGATCTTTTCAACACTAGACAGCTGATAAATCTCTTAAATAGTACCCCTGGATTATAAGGGAAGAAATACAGTTAGGTTATCACAGACATGCTTTTCTTTTTTTTAACTGTTTCAAAGAGGAACGGAGGTGTGAACAATTAACCTAGAACTCTGGTGTGAATGAGAAACACAATGGTAGCCTGTTTATTTTTTTAATTTATTTTTATATTAATTACAGTTTACTTACTTTGTATCCCAGCTGTAGCCCCCTCCCCCACTCCCTTCCAATCCTACCCTCCCTCCCTCATCTCCTCCCAAGCCTCTCTCCAAGTCCACTAATTGTGGAGGTCCTCCTCCCATTCCATCTGACCCTAGCCTGTCAGGTCTCATCAGGACGTGGGTAGCCTGTTTATAATGTACATTAATGTTGCATTTCCAGTGTTTTGTGTTGAAACCTAATCATATGAATTTTATACCAGAAAATAAGATTCTGTTCCTAGCCCTGCGAAACTGAGGGGACATCTTTTTGTCAAGCTGGTGGTAAGCTTCTGGAAGGACATGGGTGTAACTCTAGCTGAGACTCCTAAAGGGGGTGGTGGCTGGGGGGGGGCTGAAGTGACCACCTCCTAGCCAGGCAGGACTAGTGGAAGAAGGGGAACAACCAACCACTGACAAAACCTGTGATCCAAAAACTACCCTACCAACAAGAAGTGCAGAGATAATGAGGAAACGAAGATTGAGAAAAAGTCCAAACAACACTTGGCCCAACCTGAGACCCACCCATGGTAGAGAGCCAGCCCCTGGCACTAATAATGATACTCTGCTATGCTTTCAGACAGGAGCCTAACTTGACCGTAGTCTGGCAGGCTCCAGCCAGCAATGGATCAGGACAGATGCTGAGACTTGCAGTCAATCATGGGGCAGAGCGCTAGGTGTCCTGTGGAAGTGATGGGGGAAAGACGGAAGGACCTGGAGGGGACCAGAACCTCAGAAGAAGACCAACAGAGACACCTAACCTAGTCTCATGTGGGCTTTCAGAGATTGAGACATCAACTAAGGAACATGCAGGATCTGGACCTAGGCCCCCTGCACACACGTAGCCGATGGGCAGCTTGATCTTCATATGGAGTGCCTGGTGAATAGAGGGGGCAGGGAGCTGTTTTTAACATGGACTCTAGTGCTTGCTTTTGGATCACTTCCCCCTGACAAGGCTGACTTGTCTGGCTTCAGGGGATAAAGATATGCTCATTTCTGATGTGACTTGATGGGCTTGGGGAAGCCTGAGAGGGAGGAACTCTCCTTTTCTGGGAGGAAAGGGAGAGGGGAAAGGGGAAGGGGGACTGGAACTAGAGGAGGGAAGGGGTATCAATTAGGGTATAAAATAATTTTTTAAAAAGTTTTAAAAATATGTATAATAAAATAAATTAGAAAATAAAAGATAAGATTCTGGGAGTCCATGGTCCCTCTTTGATGAATATCAAAATTTAATTTGATGAATATCAAATTAAACCATTACATTGGTTCCCTAAATACAATGATGGTTTTACTAAGCATCATTTCAGAATATTTTACTAAGCATAGAGCATAGTCCCACACATGTAGCACCACGCTGAACTCCATGATCATATTTAAAAACAATGCTACTCCGTCTAAGGTTTCTTTCTGCTAGGGTTTTAGACACATAGACTGTCCACAATTTCCCTCTCAACAATGCCAGATCCTTATTGTGGTGACACTCAGTAGTCAGGACCCAGCTGTAAGCAAACACTTGCCAAAGTAAGGGGTACAGAGGACACTTAATATTTTTTACAATTGTCAAAACTATTCTCTTAGAACACATATGTTAGGACAGGTGTTCTAAATGCAAGAATCGTATTAATCTATTAGATTTTCTTCTGGTGTTTAATAATTTTGATACTTTGGAAGTTTATGTTACAGACATTCTTCTTTTGTACTGTCTCCGTCTGGTTATTGTGAGAAAAATGGAAGACATAAGGAGGATTGATTATTGAATCTTAGTTACTACTCAGCTACTTAACAGTCTGTTTCAAATAATCTATTGTCTGCCTCAATTTCTTTCTAAAAGTTCTCCTTTCAATTGTTCCATTACTGAGAATTGCTCTGTGCTTGTTTTCATGCCATTCTATTTCTACCTTGAAAGTCTTAATAATTTTATCTTGTAACTTGTGCTTTGATAAGGAAAGCCTGTGTGATATTGGAACATGGTATAAACAGAGGAAGCATATGGAACTTGTGTGTCTATGATGTCTCACCATGCCACTAGCATGTGTCAGTCATGATGCTCTGTGAAGTCAGAATCCTGACGAACACACAACATGTTGGAGCATAGAAAGACTCCAAACAAGTACAATACAAATGTGTTAAAACTCAGCACAGAGGATGGAGGGACCACTAGCAGTGGAGGAGGACGTGTTTGTGTTTCTGTGTGTTAGGTAACTGTTTGAGCTGAAAATAGCGATATCGAAAGAAATAGAGGGAATTCTAGTCCCTTTTTTATCCAGTATTTTCTCTCATTAATAAGCCAAAGACAGAAAGCTCTAAAAGAACGTGTCATACTAAAAAAGAAACTAGAAATAGTGGGCTTAGCTTTGTGTCCTATTCTCTGTTGTGCCGCAGTGAAAATGAAACGCAGTTGTCCTTCAGCGTCTGTAGTGGATTAGTGAAACCACATTCCCAAAGATTTCTAGTTCAAACCAATGGTGTTCTAAAATGGTTTAGCATTTGCATGTAACAAATATACATCTCCAACATGCTTCAACTCTCTCTAGATTACCTAAAATGCCTGATAATACAAATTCTACGCAGATAGCTGTTGTTTCACATTCGTAAAGAGTAACAAGAAAAATGTATGTGCTCAGCAAGGATATTTTTTTCTTAATATTTTTGGTTTTACAAAAATATTGTGCTTTTCTGGCTTCATGGATATGGAAGCCATGTACCAAGAGGATGACTGTACTTGCATAAACTATAAAATAACATTACATAGTCCTCTGTGGTCCCAGAAAAAAAAATAAACAAATAAAAATATCTACCTCAACCTGTTCAATTACAGCAGCAAAAACACACAAAGGTGAATAGATGTGAATTACAGTTGTTCATTGGTAAATGATCTTTAAGAAAGGAGCTATGACAGCACATATTAAAGCTTGTTCTGTGTCATACTCTCAGAACATGTGATGGAAGCAGCAAGCAGAAGCTGAGTATTCAAAGCCACTTTTTCCATGTATAATTAGATTTTGTTTCCAAGGTACAATAAAAACACTTCTCAGGAAATAATAAAGGCCACCATGCAGGAGTTATGCTTAGAACGCTTTTGTGAATGAAAATGTTTCATTAACACCAATTTAGTTCCAGAGCAATGGCTTACAGTCCGGTCATCAGCAATTAAAGGGCAAAAGAATTTTAAGCTGAATGCCTAAGGCTATCTTAGAATTATTCTATGTAAGAGAGATAAATAAGGCAAACCAACCTACTTTTAATTTCAACTGAATTGGGATCAACGTTAGGGGGTCCTGTAGCTTGTTTCAGCTTTTCATGCAGAACATGTTCAATGATTTTATGCACAATTTCAGGATCCTCGGTAGAGCGAATTCGAAAAATCAGCAGCATGTGAGCCAACACTCCATCGTCTTCTTTACTATTGCCCAAAAAAATACAAAGAAGGAAGGGAAGGAGAGAAGTGGGTAGACAAGAAAGAATTGAGGGAGGGAAGAAGTTTGTGTGGAATTATTGTGCATAGTTCTTTGATTTTATTTTATTTTTTATAACGCTATGGTTTTCCATCTTAAAACTCAACAAACATTATTCAGCTCAGCTCCTTCTCCTTCCATCAATCAGACTTATGTTCCCCTATGGTCTGCTAGTGTCTTAACTCTGTGGTGCCCTAACTGTTCATGCTTCTCCTAAACTTGTGCTTCTTCATCTTACAGCACCAAAGGAAGAGAAAATGGGTGGCAATGAATGAATTTGGGATCTCTGAGATGAAGAAGTGGGCAAGCTGCAAAGTGACTTGGGAAGTACAGCTGGTACAGCTTAGTTATTTTCTAACTCTGAGGGGCCCTGGTGAAAGAGACTTGGGTGGCAACTTTCTCTGTGGTGTCATTAGATTCTTCTTGGGTTAGGGAAATCACCTTGTAACCTTCTGTCAGGTGTGCAAGAACAAGCAAATAGTAGACTGGACATAAAGACTTGGGTTCCAGTAGGATAAGAGACCATGTAGATAATGTATTCCTCAAGAGAATGGAAATTTATGAAGTAGAGAGAGATCCCAAAAGGATGCTATCTCAAGTATAGAATTTTTAGGAAAAAAAAGTCATCAAAGCAATGCCTCAGAGTTGTCAACTAAGTCACAGACCAAGAAGTAATTCATTGTTGTCATTTGAATGATACTATAGACAGTTCTTACTCTGTTTTTGAAGAATATAAATTGTGTGTGTTAGAATCCATTATTTAAGGTCCATATGTTATACTTTACTTAAAATGTTGTGTTTTGCCAAGTAATTACACACTTGTAATCCCAGCACTCAGAAGACTAAGGCAAAGGATTAAGAAAAAGGAAAAAACAAAAAACAAAACAAATTGGAAGTTTAAGGCAATCCTGGACTGCACAACAAGGCTTTGTCCCCAACACAAAACAACAGTAGAAAGTTATGTTCTGACTTTGCTTATTTAGTAAGAACTAATTAGAGTTCTAAAATTCTCTCCAGTAAATGTTTGGAGCATTAAAAATGTGAAACAAACGCAAATCAGCTAAATTAACTGGGATAGCAGGTGGGGAATAAAAAACGTGAGGAGGTGAAGCTCTCATTTGGCAGGGTATGAATTAGTTCTTCCTATTAAATTAGTTCTCAGTTGTGATGGGTCGTTTACACCACACACACATGCACGCACGCACGCACACACACACTTTATAGCATCAGCAACAATTATACCCCTGTTCTCAGCAGGTATCCTGCAAATGTTCATTTTTGAAACTGGAGGGTAAATAAAGTACATTGTAGCTCATGGCTTTCATAGAGCAGGTGAGTAAATGTTTGTTAAGCTGAATCACATCACATCATTAGTATTTTAAAATATGTTTATTACTGACCAGGTTAAGAATTTCATCATCAAGTTAAATCCAGAATCAACATTTTCGGTTCAACTTACCTGAACTTGATAATATGAGCCTTGGTAAGCTGTCCCCTTAGTGGAGATCTGTAAAATGCATTTTTCACCTGTTTAAGGATATTTATAACATGTCAGCAAGAAGTTGTCTGAAAATTTTAATGTGCTCTAGAGCAGTGGTTCTCAACCTTCCTAATGCTGTGACCCTTTAACACAGTTCCTCATGTGTGATGACCCCCATCCATAAAGCTATATCATTGCTACTTTATAGCTGTAATTCTGCTACTGTTATGAATCGTAATGTAAACACCTGTGTTTTCTAATGCTCTTAGATGACCCCTGTGAAAAGGTCATTTGACCCCCAACGGGGTCACAACCCACATCTTGAAAACCACTGCTCTAGAGAGTTAAAAATACAAGACAAAGCAAGCAAACAAACAAAACACATTAAGCGACATTCACAGTGTGCTGACGCTGAAGAATCCTCAGTGGCACCCTACCTCGTAAATACAGTGACTCTGTATTCAGAATGAGAGCCGCACTAAGACCAGTGCAGACCTACGCGCTCTGTTCAGAAGGCTACCCAAAACAGTGAGTGCTGTTTCCTTAAATGTCAGTTCGCCCTCGATAGCGTGAGGTAAGAACTTCTACCACTGACAAAAAAAAAAAAAAAAAAAAAAAAAAAAAGATCTTTTTTATTTTTTTCAGAGTTCTGTTATTGTGACAAAATGCCTGAACAAAACAATGTAAAGAAGAAAAGAAAATGTTTGGACTCGAGGTTTTGGAGAACAAATGAAGTGATTTGTCCTAACTGGCTGCTCGTCATAGGATTGAATACATGGCCTTGTAGTGTGACACAGGCACCAAGTGTGCTCACATACTGAGTGCCCAGCTCAGCACTGACAATGCTCTGAGAAAGTTCCGTGAATTGGAACCCTGAACAACCACAGCTATGAAGTTTCTCCAGTAAGATGACAGAAGTGTGTTGTACAGATATTTCTTGCTATAAATAATTCAAATTAATTTGAACTTTAAAATTCAGGGCTTGGTTAAGTAAAGATTTCAGTTGTAGCCAGGCACGGTAGCTCATGCCTGTAATCCCAGCACTCAGCAGGCAGAGGCAGGCAGATCTCTGTGATCAAAGCCAGCCTGGTCTACAAATTGAGTCCAGGACAGCCAAGGCTATACTGAGAAACCCTGTCTCAAAAATAAAGATAGATAGATAGATAGATAGATAGATAGATAGATAGATAGATAGA